CTGGCCACCGAGGAGTCTCTGAGGCTCCTGCCAAGTCGGACCCATTCTGCGATCCCCCCCACCACTGGCGGCCTTCAGGTCCGGGGCATTCCCAAAGGCTCTCCCAGGGACCTCCTGTGCACATGGCTTCTGCCGCTCAGGCGTCCTGGGCCGCCTCCCAGGCACCGGGTGCTCTGTGAGGGTCTTTTCCCTGGGCCGGCTGCTCTTGGGGGCCCTGAGTGGTGAGGTCAGTTGCAGGCTGATGCTGGCCTGGTCACTGCCCGAGCCGAGCAGGAGTCTCTCCCAGTAGATCACTGACACCCCTGTGGGTTTTCTCTCCCGAGATGGGGAGGCACCCCGTTGTCGCTGCAGGCTTTTTACACTGTGGCAGGCACCGGCAACTGGGAAGACGCTAGTAGTCATCCCAGGTGGGGTATCTGGGAAAGCTGGTGGACATTCTCTAGAAACATCTCCATCCTCTGCCAAACTCCAGGAACCTAAAGGCAGAGCAACGGTGGTTTGCTGGGGGCATCCCGGTTAGGAGAGGACCAGGGCAGGCTGAGAGGAAAGGCAAGAAGGAACCCGGGGGCTGACACAAAAGCTTAGGGGAAAAGTAAGGCCGGGCGCAGTGGCTCACGCCTGTAATCCCAGCACTTTGGGAGGCCGAGGCGGGTGGATCACCTGAGGTCAGGAGTTCGAGACCAGCCTGACCAACATGGAGAAACCTCGTCTCTACTAAAAATACAAAATTAGCTGGGCGTGGTGGCGCATGCCTATAATTCCAGCTATAGGGAGGCTGAGGCAGGAGAATTGCTTGAGCCTGGAAGGCGGAGGTTGTGGTGAGCCGAGATCGTGCCATTGCACTCCAGCCTGGGCAACAAGAGTGAAACTCCGCCTCAAAAAAAAAAAAAAAAAAAAACAAGAAAAGAAAAGTAGAAGTGAGGCCGGCCCTGCAGGAGGGGCTGGGGTTTTGAGGAAGTATCTGCCCTGACGCGTATGGCACTGACTGCAGTGGGGACTCCCATGATCAAGGTGGCAGCCCCGAGACACCCAGGATGTGAAGCTGAGAAAACCTGAGCAGCTGCTGAATGCCACCCAGGTCTCCACACTGGCTGTTCCACCCCATCCCTTTCCATAGCTCACTGCCTTCTCCCTTGGTGCCCTGTCTCAGGCACCCACTCCCAAACCTGCTCTTGCAATGACCTCCATCCAGTGCTCTAGACTGTACTCCGGAACCCTACTTACTCACTGCCTCTCCCCTGGCACCATCAGCCCCACGAAGGCAGGACCATGAGTGTCCTGGTCAAGGCTGTGTCTACACTGCCTGCAAGCCCTCAAGAAATATTTGATGAATACAAAGATGAATGATGGGATAAATAAATGACCTATCAATAATGGCTACTAGTTGTGGAGGGTTCAAGGCCACACAGCCCAGCTGAGGGTAGGCCCTTCTGTGTGAACCCAGCCCCTGTGCCCTTGGAGCTCTCCCTTCAAGGGCACCTACTAAGGCAGCAGCCTCCAGGAGAGGCGGATGATGGAAGAGAAGGGAGTCAGGTGGGAGGCAGGAGAGGAGGATATGTTTCCAGAGTTAGAAATGCAGGGACACGGGCTTGGCCACAGGTTGGTCCCGAGTTCACCCCACCCTGAGCTCCTGCTCACCAGCATTGAGCCTCCTGTAGGTGTTCCTGGCCAGGGTCATGTCCTTTCCACTGGGAACCCAGGGCTCCTCGCCACGCTCAAGCTGGATGACCACATGAGGTCGGGAGGTGGAGAGTCCTGTGAAGAGGAGCCCCAGGTGAAGACAGCCCACCTCTCAACAGAGAGCAGGAGTCAGGGCTTCATGGAAATAGACAGTTATCTGTGCAACTGGGAGAATCTAAAGATGGCACAGGGCAAGGGGCTCATAGGAATAGCTCATGCATCCTCAGAGCAGCAACTGTGCCCAGAGCACCAAAGGAAGGGGACTGAGCTCAGGCATGGGAGAGGCCACAGCTGGACAGGGTCGCAGGGAGTGGTTGACCCAACCAAACTGCATGTCTACAGGACCAGACCCCTGCTCCACATGGCCCCGGCCAGAAGATTTGATCCTGCTCATCAATCAGGAGGGAAGTGAAGAGGCAGTCCTGGCAGGTCAGATGGTCACCAAGTGCACTTTTCATGGAGCACCCAGGGTCTTACCAAGTGAGGTCACAAGTGTGAAGTTTTCCAGCATCACGTGGCGGTACAGGGCCCTTTGCGCTGTGTCCAGGAGCCCCCACTCCTCCTGGGAGAAGTACACAGCCACATCCTCGAAGGCCATCAGATCCTAAAATAGCAGAGAGGTGGAGGTAGGCATGGTTTAAGGTATGGCTGTGAGCCAGGACCAAGCTCCCCATCCCAACAGTTACCTCCCCTGGTGTCTCACCTTCCCTGGGTTCCACCCCAGGGTTATATTCAGGTGGCACTTCCCTCACCTGTCTGGGACCCTTCCCCTCTGCCCTCCTGGTCCAGGCCCCAGATGGCTTCTTGACTTCCCCACTACACAAGCGGGCTACAGCAAGCCCTGGCTGGGCCCTTAGCTGCCACACCAAGGGCAGCGGCAAGTATCCACTCATGACTCAGCATGACCATTCATGACCCTCCCCATGGCTGTTCTTGCTTTTGTAATAAGTAACGGTGTAAGTCCCAGCTGTGGACACCCTAGGCATGCCTATGACTGAGACCTTCCCCTGCTGTGCTTGCCTGACATTTCCAGGCTGCTCATCCAGACTGAGGGACTGGATGATCCCCACCAGTCGTCATAGGGGAGCAGCCCCAAGAACCCCTGAACACAGAGGAACTCAATCCCTTCCTCCCTCTACATGGCGCCCCCTCAATTTCTTCTTATTTTTTTTGAGACGGAGTCTTACTCTGTCACCCAGGCTGGAGTGCAGTGGTGCCATCTTGGCTCACTGCAAGCTCCGCCTCCTGGGTTCACTCCATTCTCCTGCCTCAGCCTCCCGAGTAGCTGGGACCACAGGTGCTTGCCACCACACCTGGCTAATTTTTTTGTATTTTTAATAGAGACAGGGTTTCACCGTGTGAGCCACCACGATGGTCTCGATCTCGGCGCCCCCTCAATTTCTTTCCCACATTGCCGCCACCCTCTCCTACTCAGTCACCTGCCGAACTCCTCCCCTGATAGCCTCAGGCACCCCAGCCAGTTTGTCTTACCCTCAAGCTGTAACTGCCCAGGCCTGACTGCTCATCGGTTCATCACCTTCCTCAGTCCAGTTCATAGGCCCTGTCCTCAGCCCAGGACACCAACAACGTCAGGTCCAGTGACATGACCAACCTGGAACATCCCAGACTCCTGAGCTTTCCCCTGAAGGAAACCTGCTTTCCCTTCAATTCTCCTTTCTGTCTACGGCAGCTCCCTTCTTCCAGGCGCTCAGGCTGAACAACATGGAGCAGTTCGTTCTTCAAACAGCCCACACCTGATGCATCCGCAGATGCACCAGAATTCACCTGGCCGCTCACCTCCACTGCTGCCCAGACTGTGGCAGTCGGGTCTTCCCTTCATGCCGACACCCCTGCATGTCTGTTCTCCACGCAACAAACGGTGGAACCGTTTAAAATCCCAACTCAGAGGATGTCCTGATTCTGTTCAAAACCCGACGCCCTCGAGAAAAAACCCACCTCCTCGCCTGCTACTGCAGCCACACACGTCCCCTCTCCCCCAGCTCCGCACAGTAGCTCAAGCCTAGTCTCAGCACTTGGGAGGCCAAGAGATCACGGTCAGGAGATCAAGACCATCCTGGCTAACATGCAAACTCGCCTACTAAAAATACAAAAACTAGCCGGGCGAGGTGGCGGCGCCTGTAGTCCCAGCTACTGGGAGGCTGAGGGAGAGAATGGTGTAAACCCAGGAGGCAGAGCTTGCAGTGAGCTGAGATTCGGCCACTGCACTCCAGCCTGACGACAGAGCGAGACTCCCCCATCTCAAAAAGGTGAATCCCTTTTGACTTTTTTTTTTTTGATACGGAGTCTTGCTCTGTCGCCCAGGCTGGAGTGCAGTGGCATGATCTCGGCTCCACGCCCGGTTCACAATATTCTTCCTGCCTCATCCCTCTCCTCCCAGTAGCTGGGATCGGCAGGCTCTCGCCACCATGCCCGCTAATTTGTGTGTGTGTATGTGTGTGTGTGTGTTTAGTAGAGACGGGTTTGCCCAGGCTGGCTAGATGGTCTCAATCCCTGACCTCGAGACCCGCCCGCCTCGGCCTCCCAAAGTGCTGGGATTACAGGAGTGAGCCACTGCGCATAGCCTGGAATTCTTAATTTTTTTTTTTTTTTTTTTTTGAGACGAGTCTCGCTCTGTTGCCCAGACTGGGAGTGCAGTGGCTTGACCCCGCTCACTGCAGCTCCGCCTGGGTTCACGCCATTCTCCTGCCTCAGCTTTCCCGCGTAGCTGGGACTACAGGCGCCCGCCACCTCACCCAGCTAGTTTTTGTATTTTTTTTTGTAGAGACGGTTTCACCCGTGTTCGCCAGGATGGTCTTGATCTCTCCTGACCTCGATCCCGCCTCCGCCTCCCGGCCCTCCCCCAAAGTGCTGGGATTACAGGCTTGAGCCACCACGTCACTCGCTCTTAAATCTTAATTTTTAAAGCTCTAGATGCTCTGCCTTTCAACTGTGCCAAGCTTATAGAGGTTTTCTATGTTGGTCAGGCTGGTCTCAAACTCCTGACCTCAGGTGATCTGCCTACCTCTACTCACAAAGTGCTGGGATTACAGGCGCGATCCACCGTGACCTTCCGGGCCTATGTTGACTTTAGGCCACAAAAATTGACCAAAATTTTTTTGACAATTGCATCTTTAACCTGCCAGCTTACTAAGTTTTGTCTCTCAGCTTCTGGCACAGTGGCTCATGCCTGTAATCCGGAGCACTTTTTGAGAGGCCGGGCAGTAGATCATTTGAGGTCAGGAGAGCTTGAGACCAGCCTCCACCAACATGGAGAAACCCCATCTCTACTAAAAATAAAAATTAGCTGTGCGTGGTGGCTCCATGCCTGTGTAATCTCAGCTACTCAGGAGGCTGAAGCAGATGACTACTTGAACCCAGGAGGTGAGGTTGCAGTAGCCGAGATCCAGCCATTGCACTCCAGCCTGGGCACATAAGAGGAAAACTCCATCTCAAAAAAAGTTGGCTGGGCGCGGTGGCTCACGCCTGTAATCCCTGGGAGGCCGATGCGGTAGATTGGGCAAGGTCACAGAGATCAAGACCATCCTACAACATGGTGAAACCCCACTTTACTAAAAATACAAAAAAAAATTAGCCGGGCAGGGTGGCAGGCACCTGTAGTCCCAGCTACTTGGGAAGCTGAGGCAGGAGAATGGCATGAACCCTGAGGTGGGAGCTTGCAGCAGCCGAGATCACGCCACTGTACTCCTGGCCTGATGACAGAGCAAGAGACTCTGTCTCAAAAAAAAAGAAATTAAATTTAAAAGTTTTGTCCTCTTCCTTCTTGGGAGTTCCTTTGAAGCTTCATTAAGCAACCAAGGAATCTATTTCACTGATGAAACAACTAACCCTACTTTAACATATGACTGGTTATTTAGAATTCCCATTTTGCATACTACTCTCAGTCTTCCGATTGCTGAATGTACAAATAAGGTAGTAATTAAAAATCACCCCACAGCTACAGAAACTTTTAACCTCTCCGCGGCCTAAGACTTTTCCAATGGTCTGAATGTGAAGGAGCCTACAAACCACTCTTCTTAATGTGAGTCTGGGAGATAAATATCAAAGATCGTAGGGCTCCAACCTGGAGATTCTGTTTACAGAAATGCCATCTTAATAAAGGACTCCCTACAACCATGTTGAAGAGAACTCCAGCCTGGGCAACATGATGAAACCCCATCTCAACAATAACAACAAAAAGCAAAATTGCTGGCATGCACCTGTAGTCCCAGCTACTGGGAGGCTGAGGTGGGAGGATGACTCTGAGCCCAGGAGGCAGAGAGGCAAAGCTGCAAACAGGATTAGCCACTGCACTCCGTAGAAGTCTGGGCAAAAGAGCTAGACCTCTGTCTCAAAATAAAAAAGAAGTTGGTGGAGGCACATCAGGTATTCTTTGTTTTTTTGTTTTGTTTTGTTTTTTTGTTTTTGAGGCAGAGTCTCGCTCTGTCCCCCAGGCTGGAGTGCAGTGGCACGATCTCGGCTCACTGGGCAAGCCCGCCTCCTGGGTTCACGCCCATTCTCCTGCCTCAGCCTCCCAAGTAGCTGGGACTACAGGCGCGCCACCACGCTGCCATGGTATTTTTAGTAGAGACGGGGTTTCACCATGTTAGCCAGGATGGTCTCGATCTCCTGACCTCGTGATCCACCCGTCTCGGCCTCCCAAAGTGCTGGGATTACAGGCTTGGAGCCACCGTGCCTGCCATCAGGTATTCTTAACCAGTCCTTGTGCAAGCTAAACTCAAAGGCATTGACTCTAGGATTTTTCATTTTTTAAAAAAATGCAGCCCTGCTTGAGTAGACATTCGATCATTCCAAATCTCCAACTGAGGCAGTCCCATTCCCCGAGAAGGAAGAGGACAAAAACTTAAATGGCACTGTTAAAGATGTGATTGTCAAAAATGATGGCCATTTATTTTTGTGGCCAAGAACTCAATAATCATCATTATGACTGATAGCATACCATATACCAGTCATCTTATAGTTCACACCAGCATGAGAAGTAGAAAATGTTAAAATATCATTCAGGCGTTTCGACATGATGGCTCTGCATGCCTAACCCATCAGTTTGGGAGGCCATGTGGTGGATCACCCGAGTCAGAACACCAGCTTGGTCAACATGGTGAACCCTGTCTCTAGTAAAATACAAAAATTAGTCTGGCATGGTTGCAGGCACTCCGTGGCTTCAAGCAAATCTGGGAGGCTGAAGGCAGGAGAATCACGAACCTGGGAGGCAAAAGGCTGCAAGAGAGCAGAGAGATCACACCATTGCACTCCATTCTGGGCCACAGAGCCAGACTCCATCTAAAAAAATAAATAAATAAAAACCAAAAAAGAAAAATATCAAAATAACACCTGTGCCAGGTGTGCAGTGCTCACACTTATAATCCCAGCACTTTGGGAGGTCAAGGCAGGTGGATCACTTGAGGTCAGGAGTTCGAGACCAGCCTGACCAACATGGTGAAACCTTTTCTCTACTAAAAATACAAACATTAGATGTAATTCCAACTATTCGGAATCCCCAGCCTTGGGTTTTGTCCTTAGACCATCTAGTTCTTGTCTCTGACTCACACATCACAATATTGATTCTTTTTCCTTTTCCTTGGGACCCATCTAAGATCTTTTTTTTTTTTTTGACAGGTTCTTCTTATTCTGCCCATGCTGGAGTGCAGTGGTGCTCCGCTACTGCAACCTCTGCTCTAGGTTCAAGTGATCTCTACTTCAGCCTCCCTAGTAGTTCCAACTGTAATTCCAACTATTCGGGAGGCTGAGGCACGAAAATCTCTTGAGCCCAGCAGGCAGAGAGATCGCAGGGAGCCACAAGATTGCTTCACTGCTCCAGCCTGGGTGACAGAGCAAGATGCTGTCTCAAATAAATAATTAAATAAAAATTAAAAATGAAATGTTTAAAGAGTTAAATGCTCTCCAAACATGCATATACTGCTTGAAATGGTAATAATGCCCTTTAAGCATTGGATTAAATCACAACTAATACTTAAGTTGGGTTTTTTTTTTTTCTTCTGTGGTTTGTTTGTTTTTTCCTGAGACGGCCCTCTTACCCAGGCTGGAGTGCAGTGGCTCCATCATCGCCACTGAACACTCTAACTCCTGAGCTCAAGCAATCCTCCCACCTCAGTCTCCCTCCCAAGTGCGTAGCTGGTATTACAGGCTTGCAAGACCACGCTCAGCTAATTTTTCTATTTTTTTATACAGATGGGGTCCTTACTTGTTGCTCAGGCTGGTCTCAAACTCCTGCCTTCAAGTGATGCTCACCTTGGCCATCCAAAGTGCTCAGACGCAGGTGTGAGCCACTGCACCCAGTCCTGAAATGTTCTTAAATCTTTCTCAAAGTAGCAAAATTTATATTAAAACATTCCAAACCTGATGAGCTCCTTGCTCAGCAAGGACATACAAGTAGAATCAATAGGGACAGTTATATTGAGCATTTGGACAGAGAGATAGTTATAGATGAGGTAGGTATAGAGGGGGAAGGGAGGCAAAAGAGTTAAGGAACTGGACACCTGAGAACTGCCCACAGGTTCCAAAACAAGACAAAAGAGAGAACTCTCTTTATTCTCAAGTTAAGAGGGACAGTCTCTATTGAGACTGCTCTGCCTTTCGCTTTATGTGTCAAAGACATTTAAATTGGCCTGTGTAATGCAGCACTTTGGGAGACCGAGGCGGGCAGATCACCTGGGTCAGGAGTTCAAGACCAGCCTGGCCAACATGGTGAAATTCCGTCTCTACTAAAAATAAAAAAATTAGCCAGGCATGGTGGCGTCGCGACCTGTAGTCCCAGCTACTAGGAGGCTGAGGCTGGAGGATCACTTGAATCTTTGAGGCAGAGGCTGCAGTGGAGCGAGATCGTGCCACTGCACTCCAGCATGGGCAACAGAATAAGACCCTGTCAAAAAAAAAAAAAAAAAAAAAAGACACTTAAAATGGATCCCAAGAAAAAGGAAAAGAGAATCAACATTGTGATGTGGGCAAGACAAGAACTAGATGGTCTATGATTACAAGGCTGGGGAAGTACCTCTGCCCATCCAAATTACAAAGAAAACAGATGCTTTGGGCAAGAGTCCAAGAACAATCACAGACTTGAGACAAAATGTAGTTACTGGCTGAGAATTATTGGTGTAAAGGTTGAAAAACTGACTCCAAACCTTTACAGACACTGACACAGAGAGGTCGAACTCCGCGCCTGTGACGTGCATAGTCAGTGATGAGCTGAAGGGAACCCCCTGAGCTCCAGGCTTCTGCTGCCTCCCACCTCCACCTGCCCTACCTCGGTGCGTTTTCCCGTGCTGCCTGTTGGTGTTGCCTCTGGAACCTCGCAGTTTCTTCTGGGCTTTTGCACCTGCAGGGTTTAGTCTCCGGGCTGCTTGGGAGGGCACCGGGAATGTCGAAGGCAGGACTAAAGCACCGGGCGCGAGTGCACCAGCGCCACCAAACTCGAAAAACCCGAGGCTGGCAGCGACTCCATTTCAACGCCCTGGGCGCGCGGTGGGGCCATGTTGCCATGAGACCGGCAGTGCCCCGCCTCCACGCAGGGGAAACAGGCGGGAACCATGGGCAAAGACCCGGAAGGCTGTGTGCGCAAGCGTCCGCGGCGCGCATTGGGCCAATGAGAACCGAAGGGCTGTTCCGGCAGGTGGACTGTCATTGGCCGCCCGCGTCAGGCCATACCGGTGGTCTGTGCTGGGGCCCGCGGGTCGGGGCCAAAGCCTGTGAGGTTACCGGGGCCTCCAAGGCTGGCGGCGAGGAAGGTACCCGGCGGCCTGGCATCGGCCCGCCCTGCGCATGTCGTGACCAAGGGCGCTGGCCACCGGCCGCGCCCCAAGCCGCGCTTCTGAGAGTGCTGTGGGCGTCCTGGGACTGTCGGCCGCGGCGGGAGATGCGCTCTTCCTGACCGTGCGGCAGCCCAGGAGGCTGCGCGCTGGGCGTTCCCACGTCCATGACCGCGGGGGAAGCCGAGGCGCGGCGGGGCCCTGCACGCTGCGGGCGAGGATGGCGGTGCCGGGTGGTCTCACTCCTCTCTTCCCTCCCAGCTGCGGGTTCCGCTGGCGGCGGCGGCGCTGACAAGCCCGCGCCGGGGAGGCAGGGGAGCCCTTGCTCCCACAGACCGCGTGCCTCCCCACGGAGGGAGGCCGCTTCCTAGACCTCGCCTCGTCGTCTTTCCTCCCTGCCCTGGGGGCCGGTCAGCAAACCCCGTGTCCAGGCACCGGTGGGCTCCCTGACTCCAGCAGCCGGGGCTGAGGTCCTGAAGGAAGCTCCTGAGGGGAGAGTCCTGCGTGTGCAAAACCTGGGGAGGGGAGCCGGAGTCCAGGAGCTTGGCACCCGAGCGCCTTTGCCAGGAGCTGGGGGAGAGGGGACGTGTGTGGCCGCAGTAGCAGGCGAGGAAGTGGGCTTTCTCGAGGGCGTCGGGAGACAGAAGTTTTGAAATTATGAATCAGGACATCCTCTGAGCTGGGATTTTAAACGGTTCCACTGTTTGTTGCGTGGGAGAAGCAGATGCCACATGGCAGGGGTGTCGGCATGGTGAAGACCCGACTGCCAGTCTGGGCAGCAGTGAGGTGGAGCGGCCAGGTGAATTCTGGGTGGATCTTGCGGATGCATCAGGTGTGGCTGCTTGAAGAACGAAACTGCCCATGTTGTTCAGCCTGAGCGCCTGGAAGAAGGGAGCTGCTGTAGACAGAAAGGAGAACTGAAGGGAAAGCAGGTTTCCTTTAGGGGGAAAGTCAGGAGTCTGGGATGTCCCCAGGTCATGTCACTGACCTGACGTTGTTGGTGTCCTGGGCTGAGGACAGGGCCTATGAACTGGACTATGAATGGGTAGGAACTCCAGCCAGGTGTGGGCAGAGTTATGGCTTGAGGGTGAGCAAGACCAGCTACGATCAGCTGGTTGGGAAGAGCCTAGCACCCAGCTGAGAGGAGGGGAGGGTGGCAACAGAGGGGAAGAAAGAGAGGGAACACCGTGGAAAAGGAAGGGATTGAGTTCCTGTGTTCACAGGTTCTTGGGGCTGCTCCCCTGTGGCGACTGGTGAAAATCATCCAGTCCCTCAGGTTGGGTGAGCAGCCTGGAAATGTCTGGCAAGCAGGCTCAGCAGGGGAGGGTCCCACTGATGGGTATGCCTGGGAAGCGCCAGCTGGGACTTACAGAGTTTCTTGTTCCAAGAGCAGGAAAGGCGCATCTGGTCATGCTGAGTCGTGAGTGGATACCTGGGGCTGCCCTTGGTGTGGCAGCTGAGGGCTCAGCCAGGGCTTGCTCTAGTTTGCTTGTGTATGGCGTGGCCAGTGGGGAGGCCAAGAAGGCATCTGGGGTCTGGTCAGGGAGGGCAGAGGGGAGGGTTCCCAGACATGTGAGGGAAGTGCCATCTGAAGATGGTGGGGGCAGAACCCAGGGAAGGAGGGTGAGTGTCTGAGGGACATCATGGGAGGTGGCTGTTGGGATGGGGAGCTTGGTACTGGCTCACAGCCATACCTTAAACCAAGCTTGTCCAACCCACGGGCCAGGATGGCTTTGAATGCAACCCAGAACAAGTTCATAAACTTCCTTAAAACATGAGATGTTTTTGCAAATTTTTTTTCTAGCTCATCAGCTGTCACTAGTGTATTTTATGTGTTGCCCAAGACAATTCTTCCAGTGTGGCCCAGGGAAGCCAAAAGATTGGATAACCCAGCCTTAGACCATGCCTGTCTCCTCCTCCCTGCTCTTTTAGGACCAGATGGCCTTCGAGGATGTGGCTGTGTACTTCTCCCAGGAGGAGTGGGGGCTCCTGGACACAGCCCAGAGGGCCCTGTACCGCCGTGTGATGCTGGACAACTTTGCACTTGTGGCCTCGCTGGGTAAGGTCCTGGATACTCCATGAAGCGGGCAATTGATGAGAAGCTGACTAGCCGGGACTGCCCCTCACCTCCCTCGTGGCTGACGAGCAGGCCCATACCTTGCAGCTAGGGGTCGTGTGGAATAGGGGTCTGGTCCTGTAGACATGCAGTCTGGTTGGCTCAACCACTTCCTTTGGCCCTGTCCGGCTGTGGCTTCTCCAAGCCTGGGCTCAGTCCCCTTCCTTTGGTGCTCTGGGCACAGTTGCTGCCCTGGGGTGAATGAGCTATTCCTGTGAGCCCCTTGCCCTGTGCCATCTTTAGATTCTCCTGTTGCACAGATGACATTTTCTGTTTCCATGAAGCCCTGACTCCTGCCCTCTGTTTGGAGGTCGGTTGTCTTGAGCTGGGGCTGGACTCTAACGTGTACGTCCTCCTCACAGGACTCTCCACCTCTCGACCTCGTGTGGTCATCCAACTTGAGCGTGGCGAGGAGCCCTGGGTTCCCAGCGGAACGGACACGATCCTGTCCAGGAACACCTACAGGAGGCGCAACCCTGGTGAGTGGGAGCTCAGGGTGGGGTGAACTCAGGACCAACCTGTGGCCACCCACGCCTCTGTCCCTGCTTCCCAGAATCCCCAGAAGCACCCTCCTCACCTGCCTCCCACCTTCCCTTCTATCATCAGCCCCTCCTGGAGGCTGCAGCCTTAGCTGCCCTTGAAGGTGGCGCTCCAAGGGCACAGGAGCTGGGTTGACACAGAAGGGTACTCAGGCTGTGGTGAGACCATCTCAGAGTCCTGCTATCAGCTGGGCTGGCCTCAAACCCTCCATGGCTAGTCACTGCCATAATTTAATTTTATTATTTATGTATTTATTTATTTATTTATTTATTTGAGACTGAGTCTCGCTCTGTCGCCCAGGCTGCTATCAGCTGGGCTGGCCTCAAACCCTCCATGGCTAGTCACTGCCATAATTTAATTTTATTATTTATTTATTTATTTATTTATCTGAGACTGAGTCTCGCTCTGTCGCCCAGGCTGGAGTGCAGTGGCGCGATCTCGGCTCACTGCAAACTCCGCCTCCCGGGTTCATGCCATTCTCCTGCCTCAGCCTCCCAGGTAGCTGGGACTACAGGCACCCGCCACAGCACCCGGCTAATTTTTTGTATTTTTAGTAGAGATGGGGTTTAACCATGTTAGCCAGGATGGTCTGGATCTCCTGACCTCGTGATCTGCCTGCCTTGGCCTCCCAAAGTGCAGGGATTACAGGTGTGAGCCTCTGCGCCCGGCGTCACTGCCATAATTAATAGGTCATAACTTTCAGCCATCATTCATCTTTGTGTTCAGCAAACGTTTCCTGAGTGCTCATAGTGGCCAGGCCCATTGCAGGCAATGTAGGCACAGCCTCAATCAGGATGATCCTGGTCCTGCTTTTCTGGGGCTCCTGGTGTGGTGGGAGAGGGAGGCAGTAAGCAGGATTCAGGAGTATAGTTTAGAGCACTAGATGGAAGTCATTGCAAGAGCAGGTTGGGGAGTGGGTGCCTGAGCGGGCAGGGGGGAGGACCATGGGTGAGCAATGGACAGGAAGTGGACGGAATAGCCAGTGTGGAGATGTATGTCAGCATCCGCTCAGTTTTCCTCAGCTTCACATCCCGGGTGTCTGGGGGCTGCCGTCTTGCTCATGGGAGTCCCCAGTGTAGTCAGTGCCACACCTGTCAGGGCAGATGGTTCCTCCAAACCCCAGCCCTCTCCTGGAGGGCCGGCCTTGCCTCTACTTTTCCCCTAAGCTTTTGTGTCAGCCGCCCCCCACCCCCTGGCCCTGTTTCCTTCTTGCCTGTCCACTCAACCTGCCGTGGTCCTCTCCTAACCGGGATGCCCCCAGCAACCACCGTTTCTCTGCCTTTAGGTTCCTGGAGTTTGGCAGAGGATGGAGATGTTTCTGGAGAATGGCCACGAGCTTTCCCAGATACCCTATCTGGGATGACTACTAGCATCTTCCCAGTTGCCAGTGCCTACCACAGTGTAAAAAACCTGCAGCGACAACGGGGTGCCTCCCCATCTCGGGAGAGAAAACCCACAGGGGTGTCGGTGATCTACTGGGAGAGACTCCTGCTAGGCTCGGGTAGTGGGCAAGCCAGTGTCAGCCTGCGACTGACCTCCCCGCTTAGGCCTCCCGAGGGCGGCCAGCTTAGGGAAAAGACCCTCACAGAGCACCCGGTGCCTGGGAGGCAGCCCAGGACCCCTGAGCGGCAGAAGCCATGTGCACAGGAGGTCCCTGGGAGAGCCTTCGGGAATGCCCCGGATCTGCAGGCCGCCAGCGGTCGGGGGCATCATGGAATGGGTCCGACTTGGCAGGAGCCTCAGAGACTCCTCGGTGGCCAG